AAATGCCCAAAATAACACAGCTTAAAGAAATTCCAAGAACGCTGCCTAAGAGAATTCAGGCTGTGTGAAGAAAAAAGATGATCATATCACAGATCGACTTTTAAGCTAATTAAAATTGTAAAAACTCTGTTTTTGCTCATACATTTGCTTATATTTCAATAGACTGATGCACCCGTTTGACATTTTCCTAGCAAAATATGAAAAAATTAGGATGGATTTAAGACTTTTGCACTGAATTGTAACTCCTTAGAGCATCATGTATAAAACACGCAGTATTAGCTCAGCTGCACTCAGTGCTGTTATGATGCTGACTGATAGATCTTGGATGAACGACAGTGGTGCTGACTGAAGCTCTATCACCAAACTTGTGTGTTTTTCCAGCCATGCAGCAGTGAGAGAGCAGGTGCAGGAGCTTCAGCAGCTGGAGGTGTGTACAAGTGCAACTGTTATTTCTTCTTATTGTTATATTATCCTTATTTATTTATTTTTGAGCTACACAAACTTAAAATTAAGCTTATCTGGTTGAAATGAGTTTAAACTAAACCCATGACCCGTTCCTTTTGAACACTTTAAACTGTCTATTTCTTTGTGTGTGTTTGTGCTTGCAGAAAGAGTGGGACTCTTTCCTGGAGAGTGTGGACAAAGATCTGCAGACAACAGATGTGCAGCTGTCTGGAGAAAAGACGGCCGACAGTCTGAGCCCAGAAACTCTATTCACCGATGGAAGAAGTGGAAGGTAAGTTTGCAAACCCGGCCTGAATGTGGTGCACCAGCAAAAACCAGTTCAGAGCATCAGCTGGTTTGAGGTGATGTGTGTTGTTTTTTAACTGACCAACCTGGGAAGACCATGTAGGTTTTTTTGTTCCATGAAAACCAGAGATTAGTTTCATTAAGATGTGTTGTCTTGTGTTGTATTTAAAGGAGTGTGACTCTCAGTCAGTACCTGGGTCAGGGTGAGAACCTGCTGCTGGTTCTCCTCAGACATTTTGGATGACTGCCGTGACGAGACCACGTGACCGAGCTGACGGCCAATCAGGTCAGCGTACCTTTATTCTTATTCCACTAGAAAAAACCATCGCCATACTGAATGAACTCCAACACTGAAAAACCACAGGCACACAAAAAACAAAAACACACTGTTACTTTTTATGAAGACAGAATTGGAAATTGAATTACTAATTTAGTCATTTAGTAATCCACAAATTAATTGTTAGGATCAAAACAGAGAAAGCCAAGATTAAGGTTTAAATTCATGAAGGCCAGTTTGTGATGTTAATAGTGGGTTTAAGGTGGGTGACAGTGGGAAGGAAAAACACCCACGACCCAAGTTCGCTCATAATATTTTACGTCTTTTTATTACTGCATCTTTTTTATAAGCACTTAGTTTACAAGGACGAAATCTTTGCTGCAAGCACTGAGATCCCAATGAAGCCACAAACAAATCTTTTCTTAGCAAGACAGCCTATAACGTTGTGCTGAAATACCCCTTTTACCTCTTTGAGGCTTCATTCTGTCTACAAAAGATTCTAAGATGTTTTTCCATAGTGGCTGTCTTCACTTAATCTTGCATCCAAAAGTGGTTTAAAACTTTTTAAATGTGTAAACAGTGTTTATCAGTAATTAACATTGTATCATCCCGCAGGCTCTGCTGGAGGCTCGGTCAGTGCGGGTCTTGGTAGTTTCTTTTGGCAGCGTCGAGGGCGCTCAGCTGTGGTTGGAGCAGACTGGATGTACCTTTGACATTCTGCTGGATCCACAGAGAAAGGTTAAGAATTTTTTTCCCCCCGCTCTGATCATCTGATTCAAAAACTGTAACTTCTGCTTTAAAACAAATTCAAATAAAAACAGTCAGTCCGTCTGCATATTTTACTACATTTTATGTTTATATTCAGTGCTGGTCGGGAGGTGCATAAACTCTAAATAGGCCACTGTAATTTATAGAAAGTAGATTTGGCTGTGACTCAGTACAAACAAACCGAGGGACCCGGAGGATTTAGCAGCTGTTTGATGATGTGTCATAAAAGCCCAGCGACCTCAGCCTCCAAACCATTTATTCAGAAAAGTCAACCACCAGATGTTAGCTGGAGTCAAGTGGAAACAACCAAATATGAAAACAGAACATTTTCCACATGCCACACAAGCAATCCTCAGTCGCAAAAAATGCGACGCTGATGCATGCTACTGACTGTATAAACCGCATTAAATGTCTCTTTTCTGGCACAGGTGTACAGAAGTTTTGGCCTTGGCTCATCCTACGCCAAGGTGATGAAGTTTGGCTGCCTGCTACAATACTCAGACTACGTAGTTGCAAACATAGACTTCCCAGATTTCCCCCATCGGCTGCTGGAAGACAGCTACCAGGTAAGAATGCACAAGTCTGTGAAAACCTTTGACGAGACTCTTGTGATGACACATTGAGAAATCTATCCAAGGATGGATTTACATGCACGAGTATCTCGCATCCTTCTTCTATCCCTTGGATATTAGCAAAATGAAAATCCAAGTTGAGTCCCTGAAGTCCTGTGAGATTAATATTTTTTATCTTGTATGCAGAAGATCAATGTTGGACATTATAATTAACAGTGTGCATAGAAATAAAATGAAAAAATGCCCTAACACCCTCAGATGCACTTAGCCACCTTATATGGAGACAGCTTATGATTAAACTGAACAAAAGCACTGTAGATGTCTCTTTGGTTGAAGTCTATCTAACTGCTTTGGTAGATAAATGTGCTCTTTCCAGCTTCTTCTATTCAAACCTGACCATGATGTAACTGAGGACACTTTACTTTAAAAGTGAAAATTAAAACGAGGACAGAGGTGAGGCGGTGAGAGTGTCAGTTTGTAGAAGTCAGGATATGGTTCAGATTCTTTTCTAACAATCACTTTAGAGATAAACATCCAGTGCCATCATTAAGTCCTTCTCTGCTTCAGGTCATTTTCATGTTCTTGGTTTTGTATGTGGCCCTAATTACAGGCTCATGTCTATATCTGTCTGTGTAGCTGCATCAGCCTTTTAGAGAACACGAAACCTCCGTGATCAGGGTTGGGAAGGCAGCGAAAAATCCTGTCTTGCAGAACACCAGAAGAATATTTTCTGTTTCTTAAAGCACTTTTCACAAACTATATGAGAGCAACTACTACTACTTAGTCGTTGGTTATAACCAGAAGCGCTTGGGAGGTCTTTTGGTCAGTTAAATGCATCAGGCGAGACATAAATGCAGGTCATAATTTGCACAGAAAACAATAACATATTTATTGTGTTTTGTCCTTTGGACGAAGAGGGCATGTATAGTATAAACTATAATGTTTAAGCTGAAACAGCCGGGGTTCCTTTAAAGGAAAAAGTAATTTGGGGCTATTTATGGGACTCCACAGGGTTCAGTTTAAAACTGCAATACGTTTTTATACCACTTGGGGGCAGTGACACATTCATATTGTCCTTTTAATTCAACTTTACTGATTAAACATTTATTTATTTATATAGGCGGTATGTTATGGACCAACATGTTCATTATTTTTACATTATTGCTACTTTAAATCCCCGGGTGACTCTTTTGTTTTAGAAAATTAATTTTAAATACTCCATAACAGACAGGACTACCACATCCACCGTAAAAAGTCAGACTGACCTTCAAATTTTACAGATTTAACTTCAGGAGTGGTGATAATTGAATAATGTGTGTTTGTCTTTTCAGCTAGGAGGTGACTTTTTGCTGGACAGTGCAGGGAAGGTACTTCTCTCTCATCCATCGAAAAACCCTCTGGACAGGCCGACCTTGGAAGACGTCTTGCAGTCCGTGGACTCCGCAGGACAGTCCACTAACTCTGCTCACAAGCAGAAGCTGTGAAATTCATTCAAACACAGCCTCAGGGGTACAAGTCGCTAAACGCATCGCTGACTCCTCACGGCAAGCGCAGCTCTTTGGCTCGCGTTCATGACGTCACACCTTACACTCATGACATCATGAAGGGGTGCGACTGATGTTCCAGCGCGAGGCAGAGACATCTGCTCTTCTGTGTTGCGTCAGCATGGCGATGCAGCATTTCAAATAAAGTAGTGGATTTGATTAAAACAGAATTTGACAATATATTTGTATTATTTAAATTTAACAAAGACTGAAGATTTGTTTCAGGAATTTTACCTTTTAAAGGTGCATTTAACAGGTTTGGATTTTAGTGACCTCAAGTGACAGTGAACGGTAACACAGTTTGAATTACATCATTACCCACAAATCACACAGTGATATGGGACTACTGCAAAAACTTTTTTATAACATATTATCTATGATCCATGAGTAGTTTGATGATAAAATCACTACCCAGATAAGGCTGAGCACTAAAAATATGATGAAAAAATATACTGACATATTAATTTATAGTCAAGTATGTGCCCTTGCTTTATATTTTAAAAATGTGACATTTATATACAAAGTTTCTCCACATATGTGAGAATTTAGGCAAAATTTAACAAGAACTATGACTTATTTTGTAGCATAAAAAAGGAATTTACCTCTATATTTCTAAACAGTTGTGATATTCCAAAGGTTTTGTCTTGGTATGAAAATGAAAACTCATTTTAGTCCACTGATTTAGTAGTACTATTTAAAAAAAATGAAAAGTACCACTCCTTACGAGTGAAGCAAATCTCCCTTTTACCTGTTGAACATGTTGACCAAACTATAATCAAACCATAATAGTAAAGTTTTTAAAAAAAAACATCCAGGCTTTTATCTACACTAGTTTTCTCTTTTGTCTTTATGCATGGACTCTGGTTCAGGATACATTTGCACACAGTGATGTGTCATTTTAAGGAAGTAAAAGAGGGTTCAGGGTGGGACTGCAAAAACAGAAGTCACACCCAGCACTAGACTTTGTTAAAACATCTTCAGCATGAAACATAGAAATGCTGGTTAATTCCACTTTAGCCAGAGTACACACTGATTCATCCCTTCAAGTTCAGTATGTGCTGATCCTGAGAGAAAAAAATAACTCCAGCGTTCCATTTTTCTCTTTTTTGGAAACTTGACAAATATTTAGAATTCCATGAATGAAATCACAGCAGAGTCCAGACTGGCTTTAACTCATATTACTGCTGCTGCATGAATAATGTAATATTCATAAGTCTGATAAAGCCTTATTCAATCAGTACACATCTTGTATAGAAATAAAGGATTTCTGAGACATCGCTGTAAAACACTTTAAATACTATAAAGTATTTCCATTCAGCAAGAATCTACTTAAACAAAGCTACAAAGTTTTAAATGAAAATAAATTATTAGAAAATTGAAATGGGCTTTGTTTTCTAATGAGCTGCTGGTGTTTAATGTCATAAAGAGAGGCTGTTTGGAAAAGGTTCCTTTTAAAGAGCCACCCTGTCATCAAATTCGCACATATAGTTCATGGTTCGATCGCAGTAGTGGTCCCACCAGTCGCCATCATCTGACGACATCGCCACGCAGTTCTCTCGCCTCCCTCCATCTGGCTGGCTGGACAGGAAGTGCTTACGCCACTGGAAGTACGTGACCCGAGTTCCATCGTCAAAGAGGTACAAGCCCTCAGAGCGGAGGTCGTTGACTCCCAGCCAGACCGGCCAGTTTCCAGGGTGGAAGAAGTTCTTTACGTAGTCAGCCAGGGCCTCTTGCTCCTTTCGATCACGGGGCATTGCCATGCGTCCTCCACGTTCTATGCACTTCCTGGATGCTCCGGCATAATCTTCCAGGCTGTTGTACACCAGGTAACACTTGTATCCAATCCGTTGTCCCTTCTCGCAACCTTTGAAGCAGAGAAAAAACAAGACTGGTGCGTTTTCAGACATTTACCACAAGTTTCTGAATTGGCCACTTGAAGCGGACTCTAATAGAAATAAACATGTAACATGCATGGTTTTGGTCTCTATGGCTAATCTTCCCCTTCATTGTAACTGCATGGAAGACCGAGTTTATTTATTTATTAATTTTTTTAAATTGTGGTATATCTTGAACTTATGGACTATTAGGTGCATGGCTGCTTTGAGTGGTTGTGAGTAAATAAACTAAACCTCTTGGCTGTTTGTGGAACTTTTTAGAGCATTTTTAAAACAGCTATCCACAATCTAAAGATGCAGCTTGCTAACATTAGCTGCTAATGTAGCATGCTATCGTGTTGTCAAAATATGACCACTTCTGGTTGAGGAAACAAAACAGGAAAAAAAAAAACACATACAAAAACATGCTTTCTTTTGAAAGCAGTCGAACAATTTGTTATCCTTTCATAACCTTAATAAGTCATTGTTGAAAACATGTTAGCCGGGAGAAATTAGCATGGCTCTGTTATCTCCATTTTTAGCTGAATTTTGGTCTCTACCGTCTCTTAAGGGAATCTGTGTTTGCTGAATTTTTCAGCTTTATGCAAATGTTTTTGTATGCTGGTTAGTCTGAACAGGGAGCATATGTGGGTTTATTTTCCAATGAAAATGGTTACCATGCAACCAGAAGAGTGAATCAAAATAGATTCATAGCCTGAATAAAAACATGCTAAAACAAGCCAGAGGAGTGCGGGAAAAAGTGGTGAGTGTTCTCTCTTTGAAATGCTGGTTTTGATTTCAGGCTTGAGAACTGATTGATCTTCCTCTTTTGTTTTTTGTTTTTTTTAAGAGGATCAAGTCCCAAAACCAAACCAAACCAATGCCACGCCTCTTGTTATTACAGCTACTTGGTTGATGCCTGGAGTGCTGAGCCATCAGCACGATTTTTAGTTTAAAGGCACAAGTGCACCTCACGTACCCTTTAATTTTGCTCAGAGTTGACAGAAATGCTGTAAAATTTCAACACACCTTGTTGATACAAACATAGGCGTATTTGCATATTACTGAACAGTTGATATGTTAGTTCCTGCATGTTGCATCATGTGTCCATGTTGCCATTCAACCTTCCCTTTTTTTGCACATATCCACTGTCCTTCTCTGGCCTTCAGATTTTATTACCCCTGTTAATTAGTATTTATCCTCCAATGAAATTTTTAGGTGTATTTTATATATGCTTTTCTCACTATTTTCTCATTACTGATAGTTTAACAAATAATTTAACGCTACAAAACATAAAATAGAAATTTATATTTATACAATATTTAGTCTGCTATTTTAAAATGCCACAGTGCAGGATGGGATGCTTGAAGTAGATCTAAGGAAAAATGATACACATGTACCTTCGAGTCTTCCGATCTCCTTGCGGTTGTCCTTGCTGTGTTGGTAGACCTCCTGGATGCTGTCCTCCAGCTCACCGACTTTAGCTGCCATTTGAGTGATGAGGAGCAAGAGAAAGACGGGAACATAAAAGTAGGTACAGCGAAAGGCTTTGTTCCCATTCGATCTAAATCGAAAATAAAAGCTCCCGTGGTACAGCATTAATACCCCTACTCTCAGTTTCATCAACACCATCACCAGTCTTACCATCCATCCTGGAGAGACGATCCATCAACTGGCTGACTTTAACATCCAGAGTGTAGTGACCGACATTCAGCTTGTGGATGGCTAGGTCCATGCTGGCCAGTCTGGATACTGTGGGCCAGAGTAGATTGGAAGTGAGAGCACAGTATGATATTTTATTTTTTTTAAAAGAGAACACACAAAGGAAGGATATGTGACTTTCCAAAATCTGGACACTTCTTACTCCAGAAACAAAACAGAAAAGCCCTTAATCAGCCTGTCAAGAATGTCCAATGATACGGCCATCAGTCTGTGGATGCACTCTACCAACCAACGTTGGTAGCATAACTTATCTCTGTACTCTTTTTATTTTCTATTTGGGTTCCCCACCCACCCCTAGAGTTTCTTTTCTTTTTATCTCTTTTCTCTCTCTATCAACTCTTGAGGGAGATACCTCGCTGAGATGAGGCTTAAAGTTATCATGATGGTGAGTGACATCACAGATTTCTGACTCGTATGACCAAAACCAACACAAATTTCAACATTTCTAAAATAACGTACAGACATAGTTGTATGAGTTCTCAAAGTCCGACACTGGGCTGGTTGGCTCTGCTTCAGGTTCTGGTAGAATATCGGGAACATCGCCTCTTGTCCTCTTCACCTCTGGTTCATACGCCTGATGGAACACACACACACATAAAACTCCCAATCCATCACATGTACTGTAAGTGTGTTTAGTGTCTTGGCTTTAGTGGTTAAAGTAAAACCAAACCCAACTTCCATTTCTTCCCAAAACAAACTTATTAGGGTTGCATCCAAATTCCAGTTTAGACACATCTGGAGCTGTTTTACATTCATATTTTCCTTATCGCAGAAAGCAGAAGCATTCAATATCAAGTCAGGCCAAGAATTTTACTCCTATTACACTTATAGAACACAGAGGAGCTCAACCAAGTTTATCACTTTATATTTAGATGTAAGAGCTCAGTGGATAAAAATGTTACCATTTAAAAGTTGAATATCTTAGCTGGAAAGCACATGGTGTAGACTTTGATCGACAACAGCAATATATTTACAAGTATCAGCACGTTCCTTCAGTGGCTTATGGCATGGTGGAGGGAGAGGGGTGCTTTATTTTGAAGTCAAACACACATGCAGACAAGTCCAATAAAAGAAAAACCTGTCGGGTTGATCTGCTTCTCTGGGTGTGTCATCATCAGTTCTTCACATGTCCTTTCCATTACATCATAACTTATAGTAGATAAATCAACACAGATTACATCATGTTTTCCACTTTATTCTTACATAAAGATAAAGAAAGAAAACAACAAAATCTGCCTTAGTGTGTCTTAATTGCCTCATTCACTGAAACACTCAGTCACTCATATACATTTACTACATATGAAAGGGATCAGAGTCTCAACCTAACAAACAGGCATGGCAGATCACAGTTAAGAAAATGCACGACAGTGAGAGCAGCCTCTAATAGAAAGAGCACATACAGCATATGAAGTCCTGACCTGTGCTGGTGCAGCGCTGCCTGTCCCCATAGGAACACACACTCCCAGAGAACATAAACACAGCAGAGCGAGCGAGGTGGCAGCCGGTCCCATTTTCTGCTTCATAGTAACTCTGCTTTTCCTTCAGCAGCAAAAACTCCCTCTGTACCTCCTAGTCTCTCTGTCTCTCTCCTTCCACTGTCTGGGTTTCTCTCTCTCTCTCTCCTTCACTCCTCTCCTACAGTAGGAAGCCAGTAGGAATCTCCCTTTAGATGTGTGAATGGGAGCTGGTGTACAGCCCTCTTTTAAAAAAAAAAAAAAAAAAGGGGGGGGGGGATCACAGGTATCAAACAGGAAAGTCAAAATAAAGCCCCTGTTGCCTGCCTGCTGCCCGCTCTTCTGTCCTCCTTCAGAACAAGAACTCCTTTCAAACAAAGGAAAGCTCTTTGTTTTTCCTACTACCTCCCATTTCCACTCTTTGTGTGCACACTGTGGAGTTGCAGGTCTCTGTCCGGTGGAAAACATGTACAGTATGTCTAAAACGTAAACAGTTCACGAACCGTGAAAAACAGCTTTGTTACCAGCTTTGCATTAATGTATTTGAGGATTTACCAGGGCTTTTATAACATACTCAAACTAACAACAAATATATGGGATCATCCAAAGTTTATGATTGAATTAGGTTAAAATAAAAGCTCCATTCTTCCTGTCTTTTCAGTAACTGCTTTTTTCCAATTTTTCTGTCCTTGAGTTAGTGTGCAAGAAATGTTTGATTGGCCAGCAAAAAAATGGGCATTTTATTTCAGTCCTTGAAAATGTAAATAAAAACAGAATGCAATCATTTGAAAACCAAATTTTTTAAACCTAAAAACACAAATAACACATTTGTGAAATGAAAGTTAGGATGGGGATGAAAGAACACTGTAAAACCAAACATCTGGTGGATTATCTGACATATAAAAAGAGATGGGAGTAGGGCAGAAACCGAAACTGAATGTTTATGATGTTCAGGCTCTCGTGCAAAGCTGCATCAAAACCAGAAATGATTCTGGAGTAGAAATCTTTGGCACGGGAACATTTCTGAAAACCACTTGTCTTTGGACTGAAGATGAGGCGCACAGTTTGAAATCGAGCATTTGTGATGCTGTCGGCATGCTCGTGGCACGGGAGATCTGCATCTGTTCAGAAGTTCCATTAATGCAGAAATATGCAGGTTTTCAAGCAACATGATCGTTAGCTTTCAGGAAAGATCATGAAAACTGTTATGTCTGCTGTCCAAACTTGTCACGCACTGAAAGCATTTGGAGGATAAAGAAACACAAATAGAGCCCCAAAACTGTTGAGTGACTGAAATTCCATATTAATGGAAGAAACTGGTTGCAGACTATACTAATAATTGAGCTACCAACTACCCAAATGCTGCATTTCTATCCTTGAGATGCTCTTCTAGGACTTTACTGCAGCCACCTTCAGCTGCTGCTCATTTGTGGGTCTTTCTGTATTTCGCAACTGAACTGTGCTTTATGGGGTTGAGATCAGGTGACTTGACTCGGTAATTGATGAATACCCCTTTTCTTTGACTTAAACTCTAGGGTTGCTTTTGCAAGATGCTTTTGGTCAGTTTTGCAGCATTTTTTTATTCAGAGCAGCGTATCGGCTCAAACACTTATAGTCCCAGCTGCTTCTATCAGCGGCTCTGTGATAGGCTGGCAACTTGCCCTGTGTGTACCCCAGGTTTTCCCATATGACAGCTGGGATAACCTCCAAGGCCCCCCTGCAACCCTGAACTGGATGGATGGACGGACGGATGGACGGACGGATGGACAGACGAACTTCAAGCAGTCACCTACAAACACTAGTGATCCGGTTCCACTGGCAGCCTCTGTTAGATGTTTTCTGACAACGTTTAACCTGGCCTTCTTGTTTTATCGACAGATTACACCTTGTTGTAAATTTGTATTTTTATTCTCGAAGGCATCCCTTGATTGTAGACTTGGACAATAATATTCTGAGCTCATCCAAAAGTGTTCCTGACTTTGTTAGATAATGTGAAGGGAATTTCTTGACTAAGCAAAGAATTCTTTAATTGTCTTCTTTGGTCTTTCAGGCCTTTTGTTGTTGCTGAGCTGGCCACTGCATTCCTTCTTTTTAAGGACGTATCAGACTGTTGATTAGGCCACTCCTAAAGTTCCTGCTATGCCCTCATTGGGTTTATTTGGGTTTGTGAGCCTAATGATGGCCTCCTTCACTTACTTCAACATCTCTTTGGACCTCAAATGCAGTGGTCCACTGGAAAGCCACCACATGCTAGATCAGCACTTGGAATAAACTTCAGATCTTTTATCTCCTTAATTTTTTCAATTAAAAATAATGAGAGAACAGACATCACCTCACAGTCGACTGCCGATTAATTTTGAGCTTCTGAAAATAGGGGACTATGCATAAAAATGGTTGCAACTATTAAACAGCTAATGGAAGATTTTTGCCAAACATCTTGAATTAAAGCTGAAAATATTACATAACGTCTCGAGTGCTTGATTTGAGACCTGTTTTCATGATTTAGTGATATCATGGTATCACATTTAAAATTCTTATGGACTTAACTATTTTTAGCTAAGGGTTTTACAGTTTGCAAGTCATACTATATATCATATCTACACAAACAGTCCTTTTATGAATTTGGCTAAATGTGTATAATGTAAAAGTTGGACAGTTTTCTAGTATAATTAAATACATTGGTGGTAATAGAAATATAATTTTGTGAATTTGTTTAGGAAATTGTGACATAATGACGAACCTGCCACTGAAGAGAAACCTTATGTAAGTGGCTATGTGTGCGTATGTGTGTGTCCATGTGTGTTTGGGCCTGCAGCAGGAGGTATGCCAGTTAAAATGCCACAAGAATCCAGCAGAATTTCCAGGGAAGCGAATGAGGAAAGGCTCTGCGATGTGGAGACTGGGTGGAGCTCAGACGGGGACTGTGAGGGACAGTCGGGTCTGAGTCGGCAGGACAGCTGCACATGCACAGCTGTTTCAGTAACACAACTGATTCCAGACATGTTTCCAGACCTCAGTTTTGAGTGGAGCAATGGTCTGGAAAAATAAATGAGAGCAAGAAAATCCTTGCTTTGACCTCATGGTTCCTTATCGCTGGTTTATAGAAACATTGAATAAAACACAATGTATTCAAATGCATCATTAGAAAAATGTCTTCCTTTTTGCCTCATGGAAGATTTTGAAGCACACACTTGGGCTTGAGGAAATTGTCACTAAAAAGTTTTTACTATATTCTCAAAGGCCAAACAAAAACACCAAAATAATTCTCTGTACTAACAGTTCTGCAGAATAGGACTGAAATGCAAACATTGCTCACTTATCATGGAGTATATCAGCAGTAAAATATCTGGATGACTCAGTCAAATTTCCACCTAACCCTGTCATGTCTGACCTGGGAGGGAAAAAACATCAGTCAGGAACAACACTAACAGTTACTAGATTATTTCTTTTGGCTCATAAGACATAAGGTAACAAACTTTACACAACAAGAGTCCTGTTTCTGTTTTCGTTGTAACTTTAATACCATTCAATGATTTTCATTCACCCAGATTTTTGATGAAAAAATACATCTTCACCCAAACATTTCCTGAACACAAAGCAGCCATTCAGGGTCTGGAAGCACTGGGTGGTGCTTCAGTGAGGCAGCCGGACTGGACAGAGGTGCCTCAGTCCAGAGTGTCCACAAGCACTCATAATACATAATGTGATAAATGAGCAATATAAGATAGTTATGAGTCAACTCTGACCATTTAATATTAATTAGTTCTTCAGTCATTCATTGTAGTCTAATTATAGATAACATAAAAGTGCAGATTGAAATCTGCTAACAAGTCTGAGGGAGTAGCCGACTACTGCTGATACAGCTTTTTTATGACTGCACAGGGAGCTGTGCAAAGACTGAAAGTGCCTCAAGTGATTTTACCTGACTCAGTGGGACTGAATGTTCCCCAGTTTTGCTCAACTCTGCTAGATGCCGAGCGGCATTCTGGGTAATTCTGGTGCCAAATTTTGACTAGGAGGATGAAGCAAAAGCAAAATATCTCTGGCTCTGCACATGTGGTAGAGAGTGTTATCGACCATTTGGAAGATTGGTGGTTTGATCCCAGACTCCTCCTGTTTAGAGTCACCAATCAATCAAACATGCCTGGCTTTGGATCATGGGAGAAATTTCTGAGTTCTGAGACAGAACCCACACAGGCACATCGGCAACATGCAGACTCCACAAAAAGGTTCCAGCCGACTGGTGGATTCAAACCACCAGTTTGTTGTGGTATGGCCTGACAGTTCAAGGTTTCAGATACTATTTTTGGATAGTAGTATATTTCAGATACTATTCAACAACTGAGGTGGTTCAGGCATCTCACCAGGATGCCTCCTGGAAGCCTCCAAGGCAAGATGTTTTGGACATGTCCTACCAGTAAGCAGACCCAGGACTTGCTGGAGAGATCATATCTCTCAGCTGAGAGGAGAGGTGGCTGGAGTGAGGGAAATCTGGGGCCTCTGTGTTTATATGGCTTCTCCCATGACTCAAAGCTGGATAATGAGTGGAAGTGGGATGGATGGATTTTATCAGCTTTCTTGCAAAATTGTTATAGTTCTGTATTTTCTAACTAGTTTTTTTTCTAATTATTGTTCAATTGAGTTAAGTTTAGTTTCAATTCATATCCAGAGTGGTTTTATTTTATTTTATTTATTTACTTTTTGGTCTGTCCTGTCTGGCACTGTTAGCAATCAGAATTATTGCCTAAAAGCCAAGAAAAATGCCCAACAGATTTATTTTCCCAAGTAGATTGTACAGCTTTTGCTATACTGGTCCACTTGATTGTCATATTTTATTCTACCTTTATTATTAACATTATTATTATTATTATTTATTTATTTATTTCATGAGTTATTGCAGTCAGAATGGACAGGACCGGAGGACAGGAAAGAGAACGAAAGGTTGGGAAGATTGTGAAGGTCGTGGGGGGAAATAGAGGAGAAGAGGAATATAGAGAGCAAAGACTGAAAATCTGCTTGATCACCTGCTGAGAGAGAGAGAGAGAAAAACAACACAACTTCACAAGTTCACAAAAATGGACAACAGTTGCAGACAGTAGATGCCCTTTGTGCAGCCGTCTTCACCAGTTGGTGAAATGTTTCCACTCACCTTATGGAAATGCTCGCATCAGCAGTAACAGTGGAGCTACTTGTTACTGAGTTCATGTTCAGAACTTTTGATCAGCTGTAAAACA